GGTTTTGGTTCGTTCTAGAAAACAAAGGAGTACACCTCTTGTACTTGTTCATGGGCTTTAAAATGCATGGTCTTTGTTGAAGAGGCCTCAGACTGAGTAGTGGGAAAGGAATAATAATCAACCAAAGAAAAATGGCCAGACGGTCATGTGATTGGCTCCCTAGATGGAGTAGTGGCTATGATCCACAACTATTGAATTAATTAGTTGATTTTATTTATTTGCTCATTTAACTATATTTTTCAACTTTTACTAATTTATTTTTTTGGAGTCAGAATCTTGCTATATGTAGCCCAGGCTGGGTTGCAATTCACTATATAGTCAGGCTGATCTTGAAATCTCAATCCTCCTGCCTCAGCTTTTTGAAAGAATATAAACCTGTTTATTCATATTCAGAGAGAATTATTCTTTTCCTCCTTCCATTCTAAGTTTTTGGAACATTCACATGGTACTTATTTTTAAATAATGATAAGGTATAGGTAAAAGTAGGACAAGATTGACATAGTAGTAAAATGGCTAACCCGGAAGCAATCATAGCACAGCCTAATGTTAATTTGCTGTGGACCCAAGAAAGACTTGCCCCTGAAGGGTGAAATTAAGTTGTTCAAGACCATTGCTTTGATTTTACTCAACCAGTTAAGGAAGAAGTCCTATTATTTTTGCAGAATGAATTGATCTGTTGCATTGCACAGTGCTGGCCTGTCACTCACGGTGACAGCACAGAGTGGCCCTTTGATCTCCAGAAAGTTGCAGCAGCAGACAGGAATCACTATATGAGAGCGTGCCTGTCTCAGGCTCTGGGGCAGACAGTGTAGCGCATAAGGAAAACTAACCCTGGGACAAGTAGGAGCAGAACCCGCATAGAGTCATTCCTCTGCTTAATAAAAAGAACAGAGAGACGAAGACAACGGCTTCTCATTTCTAAAAAACCTGCTGTCATTTCCTCACGATTCTGCATCCCTTTAGAAACGAGAAACGTAGACCAAGAGAATCTGATTCAGCTTGACTGTGGGATTCTTTTAATAAAGGAAGGCTGCACAAGCATTAATGAATAGCCACCCCCAAACAATCACCTTTCATTCTTTACGGAAGAAAGAGAAGAGACGAGAGATAGAGCCCATGAGGCTGCCTTGTGACTGTAACATGTCGTACCTCGGCTACCTATTTTCACATTTAATGAAAAGCTGAAGAGACCATGGCTCATTGGAGACAATTGTTTATGATGGAAAACTGATTATAAATGGAATTAGCCTTAGGCCTCTCCAGCACAGCATTACTATAAGGACTATCCTGGTAATTGTTGCTTCCCATCTCTACTCCATCTCCTTCTACCTCTCCCCACACCAGGACACAGATTCACAGAGAGCTTACATTATGGCCGGAAGTCTTGTGTTGCTAGGAAAAGACAACACTCTCCCATTGAGCTGCGTTCTTGGTTCCTTGTAATTTTTTTCCTGGTTAATAGATTTTTGACTACCAAGATATGGCTAAGAAAGAGTGCATAAACTCAATGCCAAACCAACATCATAAATGATTGTCCTAGAATGAAAAAAAAATTTGAGCCATGGTTTTGTATGTAGTCAAGGCTAGCCTCAAACTTGTGAGTTTCCAGCCACATTTTCCCAAGTGCTGAGATTAGAGATGTGTACCACCATGCTCAGCCTCTTAGGCAGATTTTTTTTATATTTTAAATTTATTTATTTTAAATTTAATATGCAAGATATTAGATACTCATTACACCATTTTCCAACAAAGTGTTTTAGTATATTGTCTCCCCTGCGCTGCCTCCCCAATGGCCTGTCTCTTTGTTTCCTGCCTTTTAAAAATTATTTATTTTCTCTTCCTCATGGTATGAGTGGTCTACTCAATTTTAAAGATAAGACTATACATTTTATACATTCATTCATTCATTCATTCATTCATTCATTCACCAGTAATGGAAAGTTTTTGGTGTGTGTTTATGTGTGTATTTATAACACGCGTGCATGCACATGTGCAAGTGTGAGCACCTATGGACAACAGAACAGAGGACACTATTTAGTATTGCTTCCCACCTTCCTCCATGTTGGAGGCAGGCAGGGTATCTTTTTTGTTGTTGGTGTTGTTTGCTGCTGCATAGGCCAGGCTAGTTGACCTGTGAACTTCCGGGCATTCTCCTGTCTCTGCTTCCCACGTCAGCACAGGAACACTAGAATTATAAGCATGGAGTGCCATGTTCCACTTTCCATGGAGCCTGGATATTCACACTCAGATCTTCAGTTTTTTTACCCATTGAACCATCCCTCCACGTCAGTAATGAAAATTTAAAAATTGTGTATTAATATAAAATAACAATGCCTAATGAAGTTCAAGCTTTCTATGTTCTCTAGCCAGCTGGTCAGATCTGGCCATTTGCATGAATAAAAAATGCAGCTGCTGACTAAGATGGCTGGTTGGGGGACACACAGTCTCTGTCTTCCACTTACCCACTGGGAAATCACTGGAAGATTTTGTTATTAGAATCATTATTTTCTTTTGTTGTTGTTGTTGTTTGTTTATTTTGATACAGAGTCTTGCCACATCCCCCAGACTGGCCCATAACCTCCAATCCTCTGGCTTCATTCAGCCTTCTAAGGGTTGGAATTACAGGTATGCACACGCACTTCTGCCTAGAGTCGAGTCATTCTTGAATAGCAGTTCTAAGGATCCGAGGATTTGAGTTTACATGGGAGAAGTCCAGTTTGAAGTTAATATATTGCCTGGTTCTTTTTTTTTTTTTTTTTTGGTTTTTTTCGAGACAGGGTTTCTCTGTGTAGCTTTGCGCCTTCCCTGGAACTCACTTGGTAGCCCAGGCTGGCCTCGAACTCACAGAGATCCGCCTGGCTCTGCCTCCCGAGTGCTGGGATTAAAGGCGTGCGCCACCACCGCCCGGCATAGCCTGGTTCTTTTATGCAGATAGCCAAACAACCCATTTACCGCTCAGCAGAGACCAGAGAATCTCAGGAAAAAAATAAGGATCAAAAGGAAGTTGATAAAGACTAGGAAACAGATTCCTGCCTAGACCCAGTTTTAGAAGCCCGACCAATAACTTGGGGATGCTGGGTTTCACTTAACATCGTCAACAAGCTGAGTGAGCCCAGGGCCTGGTGCCTGGTGAACGAATGAAGGAATGAATGTCTGGGTGGCAAGGTGAGAAGGTGTTTAGTAAACGCTATTGGAGACAGCTTCATAAAAATGAAAGTCGACTCACAGATTTTGGTGGTTTGGGTGTGGGGTGAGTAAACTTTAAAACATTTTAAAGACAGCGACTCTTCAAGGCTTTCTTCCTGCTCCTTGGTTCAATGTCAGCCATATTTTCTTCACTACCATTGCGTGGAATGCAGCCAATGAGCTCTGCCTTTGTCCAGTAGACGGCGCTGTTGTACTCTAGCCTTGCCCATCTGGGTAGGCCATCCTTCCTTACAGTGGTTCATCTTAGGTTTTCATGAGAAGGACTACAGACATTTGGGAAACACTTTTTTTTTTTTTTTTAATTAGATGCAAAAATACTTACTGGGACCACCTGTCTTCTCCAAGCAGTATAGTAAAAAAGAAACTAAAAAGCAGCATTTACATTTTCCCTGTTCTAGAATCAAAATAACCTCAGGACGATGGGATCCTGACACCTTTCACTGAATGAAGTATCCACAGTGTGTGTGTGTGTGTGTGTGTGTGTGTGTGTGTGTGTGTGTGTGTGTGTGAAATGGTGGTTAAGTATCTCCAGCATCTAACCACCATCCTGTTTTGATTGAGGGCCCCAAGTCACACACTTGGTGGGAGGCCTGGGCCCAATAGGGTGGGTCTTTTTTTCAGGGAGCAGAGGAACACTAGACCATTGTGGAGCAAGGTGTAGGGGCTGCTGCTGGGTGGCTGAGGCACAGCTGTCCCCAGATGCCCACTATCAAAGACTCTACAGGGCGGCACGGACTTGGACCTCAAAGGGATTGAGGCAGATGCCACCCTGGCCTGGGGTCAAACTGTGTGTGGGGACAGGGAAAGGAACGTAGACTTTGGCTGAGTGAAGAGAGGAAATATGGGCACCTAGGGAAGGCTCCTGCCTGGCAGCAGTTTAGGGAACACCAATCTGACAGCGGCCTGGGAGGTCTTCCTTATAAAATTTATAAAAGTAAAGAGCAACCAGAAACTCCAGAAAAGGCACCATGTAAGGACTACTCGGTGCAAATCCTTATTTTCAGTTGAGAGTGGTGGTGATCAAGTTGGATTAGGGATGGAAATGTATCAGTGTGAGCCTAGACTTTTCCATCTCCTAGTTCTGATAGATTTTAGAACATCATGCTATAACTGGGTCTTCTTCATTATCATAAAAACCAGGACGTTGTCCCTGTCCCATTTCTCTCACTGTGTTGCTGTGACAGCCACACACAGGAAAGTTTGTCAGGTCTAATGTTCCCAAAAGGTGTGAAGCCCTGCACTAGCTAGAGACAGGACCCCTTTCTGCTCATCATCAAAATGCTTCCATGCCATAGCACAGAATTCAGAAATTTTACATACAGTAAATATTAAAAAAAACAACAGACAGCCGGGCGGTGGTGGCACACGCCTTTAATCCCAGCACTCGGGAGGCAGAGCCAGGCGGAGCTCTGTGAGTTCGAGGCCAGCCTGGTCTACAAAGTGAGTTCCAGGAAAGGCACAAAGCTACACAGAGAAACCCTGTCTAGAAAAACCAAAAAAAAACAAAAAACAAAAAACAACAACAACAACAACAACAACAACAAAAAACAACAACAACAACAACAAAAACAAAAACAAACAAACAAACAAAACAAAAAACAAAAAACAGACAAATCAACAGCAAACTAGTGACAAATGCATGTCATCACTGAACAAACATCTCAGCAGAACGATCTTAGGTTGCAATGAACAACAGTGCATTCGCATTCTCTGTCTTATTTTCTTCTATAGACAGCATAAAGCCCTTCACTCAAAAATCTTCACCATTTCCCTTTCCCTTTGCTGTAGCTTTCGACTTGATGAATATAATCAGATACCATCTAGAAAAGGCTGGTTTGTGACCTCAGGAGTTGGAGGAAGCAAGCCTCCGCCAGGTTATAATTAGACAAGAGATGGAACAAGATAAAAATGAAGTGTTTGGAATAGCCCAGAGTGCTGATATGATGTGGCGCATGTCAAACTGATTTCTATACAAACAAGAGAGAAAGGAGCTAAAAAAACAGCTGCCATATGAAGGAAGACTTTGAGGAATAAGAGGAAACTCCCCCGGCTGACTGAAATATCCTCAGAACAGAACAACTACAAGAAAACAAGTGGATCGCCAAAGACTCAAATCCTTCAGAAGCCACATACGTGAGGCACCTTAAACCTTTTCTCTAAACAAGCATACGTAAACACACATTACAGTCAACCTAGGAACCCTTGTTTGCAGAGAGTTTTAGTCCACTCTAGCAACAGGAATACAGAATTCGAAAAGGTGTTGATGAAATAAAGCCGAATGTGAGGCTCAAATAATCCCTGCGTCCAGCCAGGACTGAGGGCATATGCTAGAACGCAGCTGTGCGGTTTGGTTTTGGCCTCCCCTCCCCCACAGGGCCAGCTGCAGCTCTCATCCTGTAGCTCTGTTTTCTTGATCTGTTCTATGCTTCATACAAAAGAAACAGCCACTAAAATAGTGTGTGGGGAGTTCTGAAGTGAAAACTATAGGTGCTATTAAATAAATAAATATGAACATATAATGATAAACATCATCACCAAATTTTACACGTGTCTAGGATTAGGGGAAGAGTTAGTTACAGAAGGACTCAGTAGCATGATGAAATATTATGCATTCATTTAAATGCACAGAAAATGTTTACCAAACCATGAGAGAGATAATTGGAATTCAAAAGGTGATTGGACGTTGTCTGAAGGCCAGTGTGGAAACAAACGCAGAAAGGATATGGAGGTCATTGTCACGTCTTGATATATATTCATCTCAAGACTTTTTTAAATTGGATTTTAAATGATTTCATTGCTTTTTAAATTTTTTATTTTTTGAGACAGGGTTTCTCTGTGTAGCCCTGTCCTGGCTGTCCTGGAACTCGCTCTGTAGACCAGGCTGGCCTCAAGCTCACAGAGCTTGCCTGCCTCTGCCTCCTGAGTGCAGGAATTAAAGGTGTGTGCTACCACCGCCCAGCTCATGTTGTAGATTTTGTTTGTTTGTTTGTTTTTGTTTTTGTTTTTCCTGTTTAAAAATATAAATGTTCGGCCAGGCAGTGGTAGTGCATTCCTTTAATCTCTGTGCTCAGGAGGCAGAGAAAGGCAGATCTTTGTGAGTTTGAGACCTGCCTGGTCTATAGAGTAAGTTCCAGAATAGTCAGGACTATAGAGAAACCCTTTCTTGAAAAATCAAAACAAACAAATAAATAAAATTAAAAAAATATTTGTTCAGGTTGCCATTTTGAACTCAGAAAAGAGGAAAATAAATAGTAAGTAAATATCCCCCCAACCTCTTTAATGTTCAACTTCAGTTCAAGTTGTTTTTGTTTGTTTGATGTGCCCCCCCCCCCCCACACACACTCTTTTCTAGATGCCGTGGAAGCTCTCACCTCATGCTGTTCAAGGCTTTTCTCTGGAGGAAGTCCCAGGTTCTGCTCCCGCTGCCTCTCAAGTGCACAAGGGTCATACTGAACCCATATTTAACGGACTTCCTTCAGTGAGTACTGGCGTACAGTTTGAAAAGGCACAGGCAGAATAGCAGGACAGAATAGTCTGTGATATTCTTGCAGTTATGTCTGCCTCCTAAAACCAGTCTGCCTTTAGAAGGTTCGGCAGCCAGGGCTGACTCTGGATAAGAAAGGAAGAAACTGGTAAGAAGGGCCCTCATGTTCCAGAGAGTCCTCGGTGAGTTGGGTCTGATGTCACACAGAGCTCGCCGAGGAATCCTCACTCAGCTTCCTCTGCACTGCGGGGTTGTTAGCGGTGTAAACATACACGGAGACCCCCAGAAGCACAGCCATGGGCGCAATCACTGCCAGAGCAGATGAGAGGCTGAATTTGAACCCTGATCTTCTCACTTCACATCTAGGGCTTTTCTTTTCTTTTTCTTTTGTTTTTTTTTCAAGATGGGATTTCTCTGTGTAGCTTTGCGCCTTTCCTGAACCTTGCTTTGGAGACCAGGTTGGCCTCGAACTCACAAAGATCCGCCTGCCTCTGCTTCCCGAGTGCTGGGATCAAAGGCGTGCGCCACCACTGCCCAGGTATCTAGGGCTTTTCTATTCCAACTTGTTTCACTAAATTGAATTTCATTGATTTATCATACAAAAAACTTACTATTTTTGGGAGGTGGGCAGAGTTTTATTACGCAACTCAGGCTTGCTTTGAATCTTCCTGTTTAAGCCTCTTGGGTGCTGTGATTATAGACATGTGTCAGTGTGACTGGAGTGTCTTTTTTTTTTTTTTTGAGACAAGATTTTTCTGTGTATCCTTGGCTGTCCTGAAACTCGCTCTGTAGACCAGGCTGGCCTCGAACTCAGAGATCCACCTGCCTCTGCCTCCTGAGTGCTGGGATTAAAGGCATTGACACCATTGCCTGGCATCTTTTTTTTTTTTTTTTTAAATGAAAAGACTGTGTGTGTGTGTGTGTGTGTGTGTGTATTCTTTCAAATTTAATAATATAGTATAAAATATTCACATCTTATAACAAATGAATATGACATAAAAGGAATGGAAACAAATCAAATCAGAAAATGGAAAGTAGAAAGCCAGCCTAGAAGAGGTGAAGCCATCCTCCTGCAGGAGATGGGAGCTAACACAGACACCGGAGACTGGACAAGGTGCGGAGAGTGAGAGACCTCGGAACAGTCAGTCCTCAGTGGGATGTCTCCATCAAATCCCTCCCCTGAGGACTCTGGGAACCCTGAGAACAGGTGGCTGAAAGATTGTAAGAGTCAGAGTGATGGAGGGCACCAGGAAAACAGTGCCTTCCACACAGCAGGGCTGGCACACATGGTCTCAGAGACCGTGACAGCACACACAGGGCCTGCACAGGTCCAAGTCAGAGGGGGTCCCAGTGCTGAGGGGGGAAGTGGACATGAGCCCCACCCCTAACCCAGAAGCTATCTCCAGTTGTCAACTGCTCACAAAGGAAAAATTAGTTTTCTCCAATGGCGTCTCACTGAGTATGCAAACCACCCTGGAGGGCAAGCCCATGCCCAGCAGTAGGTGGGCAACACAAAAGAACTCAATGGTTGTTTCAGAGATTTTTTTTTTGTCTCGTATTGCTTGTACATTTTTTTTAATCTTACTGATCTTTTTCTGATATATTATGATTTCCAATTTTGTGTTTTTATGATGTGTATGTGTGTTTCTCATGCTTTTCCTTTTTCTTCTTCTGTTTGTTTTAGTTTATTCTGGTTTGTTTGTTTTTCTTTTATTCGCCTGTTTGTTTCCTAAAATGAGAGCAAAAGAAATCATGGAGATGGATGGATGGATGGATGGGGATGACCTGGGAGGAGATGAGAGAGAGGAAACAGAAATCAGAACCTATTATATGAAAAAAATGATTTTTAATTGCAAAGAGAAAAAGAAAAAGGAAAAAAAAAATGAAGCCAATGAGATAGGGACATAATCATAAAGGATTCCAGGAAAGCGATTTTACTTCCAATGATCAGTTTATGCATTGGCAGACAGCGTTCCTGACCCACAAGAGCCACACCAGTTCCAACTCGACTGCTCTAGGTGTGATTTTTTTAGTTTCACCAGGTATCAAAGGATTCTGGGCTGACAGATTTATGGACTTGCCTAAGTAGGAGAGTGGTACTTCCATGGGGGCCAGACATGTTCCTTCTCTTTTGATGATGACCCTTGGAGCCATAGTGATTGACACATCACTCAGAGAGGTCCAGAGCGCTGGACGGGTCTGAAAGAAAAAGGAGAGATCTCAAGCAATTTAGTAAAAGCAGGAACTAAAACATCAGCTTCTCTTTAATCTAGGTAGTTTATTCTGGGTTATGAAGGCAAAATAAATGTTATTTCAGAAGTCTAGGGGGGATGCCTGGCTCCTTTGCTGGGTAAGTGGGCAGGTGATAGTGCACTATCAGTTTTAACCTAATTTATAGGTGAAAAGAGGAAACAGAATTTCATAGTCTGATGCTCCTTTTGATTCTCATCTCTCTTGTGAAGGGGTTTTGCTGTAAGACCCCTGATTTGAAAGTTGAACTGAAGATTCAGGACTGATGTTAAACATTAATTGACTTGAGCAGGTCAAGGCTGGTAATGCTTTCTCCCTCAAGTATCAACTTCCATTTTTCCCCATCCATGATCATCCTCATCCATGATCATCCCCATCCATGACCATCCTCATCCATGATCATCCTCATCCATGATCATCCCCACCCATGATCATCCTCATTTATGATCGTCCCCATCCATGGTCATCCCCACCCATGATCATCCTCATCCATGATCACCCTCATCCATGAGATATATTTGGAAGAACTGAAGATGTTATGAACTTTTCAGTGTGACAGGCTCAATAAATATTTAACAAAATGTTATAGCTCTGGAGAAATAATGAAAGGGTACAGGTAGATAAGAATAGGTAAAAGTTCTCTCAAGGGAGGGATGGAAATCAAAGATTTCTTTTTCTTTCTTTCTTTCTTTCTTTCTTTCTTTCTTTCTTTCTTTCTTTCTTTCTTTCTTTCTTTCTCTCTCTCTCTCTCTCTCTCTCTCTCTCTCTTTCTTTCTTTCTTTCTTCCTTTCTTTCCTTCTTTTGTTTATTTTTTTGTTCTTTGAGACAGGGTTTCTCTGTGTAACAGTCCTGGTTGCCCTAGACCTCACTCTAGACCAGGCTGGCCTTGAACTCAAGAGATCTGCCTGCCTCTGCCTCCCAAGTGCTGGGATTAAAGGTGTGAGCCACCACCGCTGGTCTGAAGATTTTTTTTTTTTAGTTAATATACCATCCAAATGTTTACTTAGTTCAGGACTTTGTGCTGGTAAGTTTAGATGTATCATTGGGTTACAGATTTTTGTCTTCAAGGGCCTTTTATGTTCAGAGGTGATATAGAAATACACATGCATGGGAATATAAAGTAGAACATAAGATATTTTATTAGAAATAGAGGATGCTGGGCTGTGATGGCACACGCCTTTAATCCTAGCACTCAGGAGGCAGAGGCAGGTGGATCTCTGTGAGTTCAAGGCCAGCCTGGGCTATAGGACAGGCTCCAAAGCTACAGAGAAACCCTGTCTCAAAAAACCAAAAAAAAAAAAAAAAAAAAAAAAAAAAAAAAAAAAAAA